GACTCTGTTTATTTCTGTTTCTGTCTGTCTGTCTGTCTGTCTGTGGCACGCACACCTTTCCTCAAATGATGGCAAGCAATCTGGCTGCGAACAAACGTAATAACCTCCCCCTTGACCAACGCCAACACACAATTCCGCTCTCTAACCCAACACCAAAGTCTAGTCGAGGCAGACACTCAAGCTCCAACAATACATAACAGCTTATTAAACAGTATTCAGTTTACTCGTGTAACTATCGCACTGTACACTGATCCCACGCAGCACTCGCAATGCACACACATAAATACAACAGGAATAACTGCAAACATACGGAGCTAACAAATAAGACATTCACGCATATAAACATAATAAACTTAAAAGGAATTTCTTTGTATATTGAGAAGTACCATAGTATTAGTTTGTAGGTATGAATTACACCGTATAAAATAATAATAATAACAACATAGAGGGAACTTAAGGGGATTCCCATGTACAGTACACACATTACCAGAAAATGGATAGTTGCACACAAAACTAAAACATGAACTATATCTATGTGTACACATCATTATCACAAGGAGAATACCTAAGTACACACAGAACTAACACGATATGGATATCTATGTATAACCAAAATGAATTATTTGCATATGAACAGAAAATAGCACAAATCTAACACAAATTTAACAGCGACCTAACACACACAAGCAATATCAAAACATAGACGAGGTAAGTGCCTCTTATGGTACATATGAAGCTAAAAGACATTAAAAAATAATCTCTAAACTACCACAACAGCCGAACTATCCATTAAACCACTTAACAACACGCATCCTCCGAATAACACCAGAGTGCCACAGAAAGGAATACGAAAGTGCCTGCATGTGGTGTCAGCAGTTGTTGACGAATGGCGGTCGCGAGTATAAATCCCTTTTTAGAACAAACACAACCATGAAACTACCTAAACAGTATTTTTGCCACATTTGCACCGTAACAAACCCTCCCCATACAAGAATGCGACAGAAAGGAATACCAAAGTACCTGAAGGTGATATCGGTAGTTGTTGGTGACGAACGTGCGGAGGAGGCGGTCCCGATGGTCAGCCTCGAAGCCGTGCCGGATCTCGGCGTCGCTGAAGATCTGAAGGACGTCGGTGGCCGTCACGCCGAAGAGGAGGTCGACGGGCGTGCGGTGCTCCTGGCCTGCGGCGGGGTGGAGGGCGGGAGAGGCGGAGGGGAATGCAAGGAGGGTGGGGATGGGGGGGTACGCAAGGGAGTGTGGGTGAATGGAGGGTGGGTGGGTTGGAGGTAAGGGTGGATGCAAGTTGGAGTCAGCGGGCGTGGGTGGGTGTGAATGAGGGGATGGGTGAGGATAGTGGTGTAGGGGGGGGGGAGGTAAGGGTGAATGAAGGTTGCGGGTGTATATGAAGGTGAGTGGGCATGGGTGTATGCAGACCGGGTGGGTGAGTGAGCGCAGGTGCATGAAGGAGGGCAGTTGTATTTGGAAGGGGGGTGGAAGAGAAGAAAGAGGTGTTTTATTACCTGCTTAAGTCGGATTTTTTAAATTTTAAGAACAAAGAGATACATATGCACAACCCCCCCAAAACAAACAAACAAACAAACAAACAAACAAACACATACGGCCATAGTCAAACCCAGAGAAACACACATACACACACACTTTCTCTCTTTATTTGTTCTAGAGAGACTCCTGCTCAGGCTGGCTGACCAGTGAGATATTAGTACGGCGCCATTTTGTACGCTTATGGCTTGCACACAAATGTACTTGTATGGCCTTCAATGTCTGGCCCTGTTTGGCTGCCATCTCGTTCCTGTGGTGGTCCTCGGGTGTGTACATTAAGGCGTCGTCTTGTCTTCTTGTGTGCGCTGTTCTCGGCTGCGTACTCGCCCAGATACCCTCGTAGCCTTCACCTGGATCTACGGGTGTCTGGGCATGCAGCGCCCTTCGACGGCATCCTGCGCTGACGTGCTCCTGGATTTTGACTGTATCTATGGGTGTCGGGGCAGGCGGCGCCCTTCCTCTGCTTCCTGGGGCTACTGGTACCTACACAGACGAGTTCCTGGCCCTTCGCCCCTCCAGCAGCGTTCACTGTCGGTGCCCTGTTGGGTAGGCTTGTTCCAACTGCGATGTTAAATCGCTAAACCAAATCATACACGCACGAACTAAGATAGATTGTTTACTGGTCGTCTTGTGATACAAATTTGGAGTTTTAATGTTATGACTTTTATTCTTTATGTTATTCTACGAAGATAAAGGGAGGCGTAAGCAGCGACCCGCAAGGACCTGCTTGTGCAACAAACCGTCTCAGATAGATGTGAGAATAGATAAAAGAGACGGTGGCGGCAATCCGCAAAGATCTACTTGAACCATTAGCAAAAAAAAAAAAAAATATGGAATAGTGTATCACTCTTCACGACTATCAAACCCGCGGGCGAAAGAGACACTGTTTCCAGACAGACATAACCGCAAATTCGCTGTACCTGCAACTGTGATAGCAACA